TAAAGCACCTACTTGGAACAAGCTTGGCAAAACACAGGGACCGCGGTTCAATCCCCCAGCACCACATGCCAGCCAGCCCCGCCCCCTGGTGGGGTGTGCTGGCCACACACACACAAATAAATAAATGTTTAAAAAAAAGAAAAAAAAAATTATCTGAAGGATATATAATCTTTTGATTTGGTGGTCCCTATTCAAATTCTATTTTCAACCCAACTTTTACTTGAACGTGCAAAGATTTAGTTCAGTATAGCTGGGTTTTTTTGGTTTGGTTTTTTTTTTTTTAATTTATGTGGGGGGGGCAGCTCAGCCCACCAGGGGGTGCGGCTGGTGGCATGTGCTGGGGGATTGAACCGGGGTCCCTGTGCTTTGCTAAGCTTGTTCTAAGGTGATTTAGACCACTGAGCCATCTCATCAGCCCCAGTACAGCTGTTTTTATCTATTTAAAAGCACAACTTTTTATTCTCTTCCATATTTCACAGTAAATATATCTATCACTGCTTTGGAGAATGAAAGTAGCGTTTAGCTAAGGTATACTAAGTCATTTAAAAACATTCCCTATTTGAAGGACCCAGGAATGTGTTGGTGTAGATCCTTTGGATTTGGAACAATAAAACCAAGTGGAAGTGAATCATTTGTGAATCTCTGGCTCTTGGGTCATTGTTTCTCCATTTCTTTTTTTTTTTTTTTTTTTTTTTTCCCATAATATTATTGAGAAACAAATAACAATGAGACAGTTTCAAACCAAATTGGTAGGACTGTTTCAATAATTAACACATTGCATACATTTTTCCTAGTGGTTAATTGTACAAGATGCAGACTTGATATCCTATTTAAAACACCATTAGAACAAATCCCTCTATTCATTAAGAGAATGTAACTATATATCTTAACCACTTTGAATACACAGATACAAAAAGGACATTCATCTATATCCCCTTTTTTTGTTAAGTTCCATTATTTAAATATTATGGGTGTGTAAACTCAGCAAAATATTCTAAAAGAGTTCAGTAGTCCATAATAGTATTGGGTCTTCCGCTT